TGTCGATTTTTCTTTAGCAAAAGCACTCCCGGGTCGAAGTCGGGAAGCACCACGCTTTGGGGACATTCCCACCTAGTGAAGAAATCGTACGCGTGCATATTCAACTCGAAGTAGACACGTCGTGCTTGACGTTTGCGCGAGCGATGTCTTCAGCCACAAGAAGGGAGCGACGGCTCGGCGACGTCTTCGTGCAAATCGGCTTGATGGCTGGGCGTGTCGTACGGGATGAATACCAATTCTTTTGATCAGTCCCAAATTTCTCTTTTAACGATAGACAGAATTCGCCGGTACCGCGAACGACAGTTCTGAAATAGAGGTCCCACGCCCGTCGTCCGCTGCCATCGCCGTCCCCGCGAGTCCCACGATACGCGACGCGAAACGACGAACGCACAGAATGCTTCCGGTTGTCTGTGGAATTTTTTTTCAATCAACGTATTTACAGCTTTTTAGAAGCCACAAAAAATGGGTTTCATATTTTTTTTTTATTTTTAATATTGAGTGTGTGCCTTCAGTGACCCACGACTTTGATTAAATTTTGTGGTCGCATCGATACCTTAGAAAACGGCCCGCGACCGCGAAAAAGAGAATGAGCGAGACTCGAACCGGCCAGTTCTTGATCGGCGGTTTTCGGGCGGAAAGAAACCGAATTTCGAGCCGCAAATTCTGTTCTGGGTAGTTGAGCCCTCATATGTCCCGTACAACTAAAAACCTCGGCGAGCATAAATACCCTGTCAGTGTCCCTTTAAGCACCGGACACCGAAGAGAGCGGACGATACCTAAATTAGGCAATGTACGCGTTCGAAATTGTAACGCACTTTACAAAGCCTATACAAATAATACAGGATCCCGTATCGTTACTATCGTTTACAAGCTGAGACCATTTACAAGCTGGGACAGCCCAATTGAAAATTTCTGGCCGGCTAAATAGTTCAGAGGTTTCCGTGACCGCCGTTCCCGTACATTCGACGACGCTTTTTCGATCGGGAACGACTGCCAGTGAGTGCGACTGGCACATGATAATAAATAGCACACACATTAGGTCATCCTTAATTCTAATTAACCCTACCTCTGGCGCGTCATCGAGCTTCCAGCTTTTGCCGGCACCCCAACACCACGGCCCACCACCACCGGCTCGTTAGGTCGATAGGCCTATCGAGAATCGAAGGTAGCGCATCCTCGGAACGGTCCACGTCCACGCACACAATCGCCCAGTCAAGCGCACGAACGTTAAATACGCACACTAACACGGGAACACAACAGCACACGACACACGGCAAGAACGACAGGTCCAGATCCCAGAAATGAGCGTCTCGCACCACACTCCGACTAGCCCCGACGACCCCGCTCCCGAATGAGGCATTCGCGCGAGGGCTTCTGGGATACCCTGCGTCGGCGGCGGCGACGTCCAACGTCGAACGTGGAGCATGTCCAAGTCCGTCGCAAGCTACGACGTCGCGCGTTGAGCTGCTCAGCGCGGCGCCGCGTTCAACTCGACGTTGGAGTATAGACACCCCGTTCGTAGACAGCGTCATCGAGCGTGAACGAACGCGTGCGCTCGTTCACGTTACGACGGAGTATAAACAGCCCTTTACTGTCCGTCCGCTGTTGGGTCAGGACTCGTGGTGGGGATGGGGGTGGGCCGGGTCACTTCGATGTTTGCTTTGCTAGCCGCTTGGAGGTGGTAGCCGGAACCCTGATGCTTCGCCGCGAGAACGTCTCGTGTCTCGTGATGTTGACCGGGGGGCACTGCCGCTGCGACGACTCCCAGTGGTTGGGACTGGCGAACGTGCACGATGCGCGTCCTTTCCTCCTCGCTCCGTCCAACCTCCGGAAACCCTGAGCAATCTTGATTTAGGGTCTGGAGCGAAGTCACTTTACGTTGTAAGTTGACATGGGTGAATCGCACTCGGCCTTCTACGTTGACCATGTAGGTGTCGGGACTGGCGATTTGGGCCACGGTTCCCTGCTGCCACGATACCGGCTGCCCAAGCAGCACGTTGTGAATGGGCCATCGCTGGCAAGTGTACTATGGCCAACCAGATTTTCGATGGCCCAAGCTTGGCCAAAGTGCTTGGCAATAGCAGTGTTTTCGTCCTCGTCTGGTGACTTGCCATTCACTTTATGCCAGTCGCTGGCCATTCACTTTAGGCCAGTGACTGGCCATTCACTTTAGGTCGGTGACTGGCCATTCACCTTTGTCCAGTGGCTGGCCATTCACTTTAGGCCAGAGACTGGCCATTCACCTTTGGCCATGACTGGCCATTCATATTTGGCCAGTGACTGGCCATTCACTTTAGGCCAGTGACTTGCCATTCACATAAGGCCAGTCACTTTCGGCCAGCCACTGGCCATTCACGTTTGGCCAGCCACTAGCCATTGACTTCCGGCCAGTCACTGGCCGAAAGTGGCTGTAGTTATACACTTAATACATAATTTATCACAGACCGCCAGAAAATTTGGGTGTTGCTCAGAAGACTGTCAAGAGTTTCGGGAGGTCAAGTTTGAGAACTCAACCCCAGAAACTTTTACATAGTAATGACACGCGAAGCTGATGCAATGCTGCTCAATATTTATTGGACTTTTTGAGCACTAAATCCTACGACGCTGGCTGCGACCACCATTCCAGTCGTCGTGGGTTCAGGGATGGTATGTTGTCCCACCATTAAGATCCCCCGGTAGTGCAGCAGTAAAAAAAAAACAAATAAAAAGAAGTAACTTTAGGTGAAGGGACAGTGCAACAATAGAGAGTTTTAGTAGATCGTTCCGATACCTCCGAAAGCCCCGATAACGGTACTATGGATGCACAAGGGAGGCGGTAGCGGAGTATCGGGTATCGTTATCGGAGTCATGGGAGCGATCTACTAAAACTCTTTACTGTTCGGTTACAATACTTTTCACTTTACACAAGTTTACTGGCACTAATGGGAAAGAGAAGCCTTGAGTACTGTCACAGAATTCGAGCGTTTTGTGTGTTTGGTTTTTGAATTGATTTTTTTCTTTTTGTTCTTGCCGTCCATTCGGCTGGCCCGGCGCATTGAGCGGCAGGGTTCGTTCCTCGTCCGTTTTTTTTTTTGTTTTATGACCCCCTGGCCCCGCGCGTTGAGCGGCGGGGTTCGGGCACCGTCCGTTTTCTGTTTTATGACCCCCTGGCCCCCCCCCTCGTCCCGAGGACGATTCTCGCGAGGTTTTTAGCTGGTAGCGATGGGCCCTTCGGCTTCCCGGAATGTTGGGAATGGTTTCCAGATGTCCGAGTGGGGGTGCGCTGTATGGTTCGCTGGGATAGGCTCACTGCGGGGCCTGCCAGTGTGACGTGTGTTTTTGTTGATATGTATTTTGTTGTTGAAACTGTTGAAAAACAATTATTTTTTTTTTGAACGAGGGAGAGTGGTGTCTGCCGCTGGAATTTGGGAAAGGGAGGACCTCGGCTTGATTCCGAGCCGAGTCAGGGCAGTGTGCGCGAAGACTTGGCCCGGGGTGTACGCAACGCGAAGTTTGGGGCGGGACTGCGGTAGCGACGGAAGGCTGAGCACGGGAGGAGTTTGGGCTCCCTGGTCCAAGCGCTGCTTTGGGCGCCCAAGTGTGTGTGCGTTTGTGGGTGAGTGCCTGTGCCGAGGAGCCACGCCGACAGCACCCAGGCGCACATCGACCTCCCAGGTTCGGTCGGCATCGCAAGAGGCCGCGTCACCCCCATCACCCACCGGACTCAGGTTCGCGCCACTCACCCCCCATATTACTTTGTATAGTTTATCCCTCCTTTAGTTTTTTTTTGTTACTTTGAGTGCAAGTACTTATATTGCAGAAAACTTTCTTTCTGAACGAGCGCTGTGTTTTTTTTCATGTACAGATATAATCATACAACATAAGTCGCGCCTCAGCGCTTACTCTATGGGGCGGTCTGTTGTGTCTTGCTGTTGGAAGTTTTGTTTGTTTTGTTTTATGCACTGTCTAACGGATTTTCAGTAAACTATTTTGTGGCTGAAAAGAAAAGAGTCTGTGTTGCTCATTCTCCCCTCACCGTGAGTCAGTCACCAGGGCGTGGACCTATCGTCCGGTCAGCGGTCCTATCAAAATTATAAATTTGTTTGCATAGGATATTATTTGGATCTTTTATTGTTAATTTTCACCGAACCTGTGACAAACTGGCGTCCGCGACAGGACCTGCTGACCACGGTGACGGCTCGGGCTGAGAGGGGACTGGAACGGAGAGTGTACAGTTAACCGTTACCGTAAATGACGGGCTGTATAGAGCCTACGTGTATGCGGGACCCCACCGCTTGGCTTGCCGATCGCTAATGAGGCGGGAGTTTAAACCCTTGTACAGGAACTAGAGCGAGTTTGAACAAAATATGGAGCTCAACGAGCTAATCGCGTGCGGCAAAGAGCTCGGACTTGAGGGAGCGGCTCTCAAGAAATGGGTTGATCACGAAAGGGCCCAGGACAGAGCAACGAAAGCTCAAGAACAAGAGCAGGCACGGGAGGCGGAGCTTCGAAGCTTGGAGCTTAAGATTAAACTGCAGGAACTGCAGAACGCGGCTCCGCCAGGGACAGGTGAGAACGGGACAGCGTCGGCGTTGGTCAAGAGCCCACAGCGGTGGCTACCAACGTTTGACGAAAAGAAAGATGATCTCGACGCTTATTTGTCGCGCTTCGAGAGACTTGCGACCGGGCAGCTCTGGCCGCAGGAGCAATGGGCCACGGCCTTGAGCGTATGCTTGTCCGGAGAGGCGTTGGCGGTGTTTGCCCGACTAACCCCGGAGGATTCGCTCGAGTACGAAAAGGTGAAGAAGGCGCTCCTCCAGAGGTTTCGCTTAACCGCCGACGGCTTTCGGGACAAGTTCAGAGGTGCAAGGCCCGACAAGGGTGAAACGGGTACACAGTATGCGGCTAGGTTGTCCAGCCTTTTTGACCGTTGGATCGGCCTGTCGGGAACAGAGAGAGAATTCTCCGCCTTGCGTAACTTACTGCTTACGGAGCAGTTTGTTCGAAGCGTATCGCCGAAGATGTCCCTGTTTTTACGAGAGCGAAAGGGCAGAGCGCTGGAGGACATAGCGAGCCTCGCAGACCGCTATCTCGAGGCCCAGGAGCAGGAGCCCGTAAGGCACGAGGATACTGGAGGGGGTCCCTCTCAAAATGCATGCCATCTGAAGCCCAACGGAAAACGGAACGAAAACAACAGGTCCCCGGGAAAATGTTTCTTGTGCGGCAAGAGCGGACATTTGGCGGCTGAATGTCGAAGTGGAATGAACCAAAACAGGAAGGCAGTGGTCTGCCAGAATTGCGGCAAGACGGGGCACGCGGCTAACAAGTGCTGGAGTCCGGTCGGAGGGGCGCGGGTTTCCTGCTTGCATGCGGCCGGGGAAGAGATGAACGCCGTATCGGATCGTGTGAGAAATGGTTATGTAGAGCTGCGGGACGGCACAAAGGTACCCGTGGTAAATGCAATGTCCGCAGCCGCCCTTCTCACAGGTGACATGCCGGTGGCCGCCGGCAGGCTACAGGGACAGGCTGTCACGGTTCTGCGAGACACGGGATGCAATACTGTTGTGGTGCGCCGGGACCTCGTTTCCGACGAAAGCCTGACGGGACGGTCGAGCCTCGTCTACTTGGTCGACGGAACCGCGAAGGTTTTACCTGAGGCCAAAGTACATGTCCAGACTCCGTTCTACAGCGGGACTATCACTGCGAAGTGTATGGACAGCCCATTGTACGACGTCATTCTGGGAAATATTCCGAATGTGCGTGCTCCCGGGGACCCCGACGTAGACTGGAATAGGTCAGACGAGACCAAAAACCGAGCCCCAGATGACAAGCCAGAAAATACTGGGGTTTCGACGACGGCTGCCGTGGAAACTAGATCCAGGAAGAAGATGGCAGGGAAGGGCGTCAGTCCGCTACGAGTGCCAAGCATTGAAGGCGCCCCCGCGGGGCCGGAAGAGTTGGCTACACAACAAAAAGAAGACCCCAGCCTAAAGACGTGCTTCGAGCGTGTGGGAAAAGAAATGACTTGCAAAAACTCAAACGACAGGTACGAGTTCGCTATGCACGAGGGGCTGCTGTACCGAATTTTTCGGCCTGCGGTAGAGAGGGAAGTGCACCAGCTGGTGCTTCCCCAGGGACTACGAGACGTGGTGCTTCGGATGGCCCATGATGGCATCCTGGCTGGACACCAGGGAGCAGAGAAAACCACCCACCGGGTTCTAGAGGAATTCTACTGGCCCGGACTTCAAGCCGATGTAAAGAGATTCGTCAGGTCTTGCGATCAGTGTCAGAGGACCACCCCAAAAGGAAAAGTGACGAAGGCACCCCTCGGCACGATGCCCTTGATAGACACTCCTTTCCAGCGGGTGGCCGTCGACATCGTGGGCCCCATCACACCGGTGACGGCGAAGGGGAATCGATATATCCTGACATTGGTCGACTATGCCACCCGATACCCTGACGCTGTCGCCCTCCCGGATATTACAACGGAACGTGTGGCTGAGGGCCTGGTAGAGATGTTTACACGGATCGGTCTGCCAAAAGAAATCGTGAGCGACCGCGGCTCGAACTTTACGTCAGATGTGATGAAGGAGGTGAGCAGGCTGCTCTCCATGACACAGCTCCACACCACACCATATCACCCTATGGCCAACGGCCTTGTAGAGAAATTTAACGGGACTATCAAGATGATGATGCGACGCATGTGCCAGGAGAGGCCGAGAGACTGGGACCGGTACCTCGCACCCCTTCTCTTCGCATACCGAGAGGTGCCGCAGGCGAGTCTGGGGTTTTCCCCCTTTGAACTGTTATACGGTCGACATGTGCGGGGGCCCCTCTCCGTTCTAAAGGAGCTGTGGACGAATGAGGCCCTGGAGCCGGAGATCCGTACCACCTACGAGTACGTGTGCGAACTCCGAAACCGACTGGAGGCGACCTGCCGGTTGGCCCATGAGGAACTCGAACGATCGGGTGCTCGGTACAAGAAGTACTACGACAAGAAGGCTCGGAACCGAGCCCTGAGCGCGGGTGACAGGGTGCTAATCTTGCTCCCGACAGACAACAATAAGCTGCTCATGCAGTGGAGAGGGCCCTATCCCGTCATGGCAAGGAAGGGCGAAGTAGACTATGCGGTGGACATCGGGCATGCAACGAGACTGTTTCATATCAACATGTTAAAGAAATACGAAGAGAGGGACCCGACGACCGCGAGCGGGGAAGGCATTCAGTGTGCTCTGGTAACGCCGGACGAGGGGGAGTGGGAGGACAGGCTGCCGCTCTTGAGCCTCGAAAGGGTGGAGGATAGTCGAGACGTGGCAATGGCTGACGGGCTTACGGAGCAACAGCGGCGGCAAGCCCAGACCCTCGTCAAGGAGTTTGAGGTGGTATTCTCAGATGTACCCGGGCGCACGGACCTAGTGGAGTGCCGGTTGGACATATCGGCCCCCAGACCGGTACACACAAAGCAGTACCCACTTCCGCATGCTGTGCGCCACACGATCAACGACGAGGTGCAGAAGATGTGGGAGATGGGAATAATCGAGCGGTCCCATTCGGCATACAACTCTCCTGTCCTCGCCGTGAAGAAGCCCGACGGCACCCATCGCCTATGTATTGATTTTCGGGCGCTCAATGATGTCCTGGACACCGATGCCGAACCGATTCCCCGAGTGGATACCTTGTTCTCGGAGATAGGAGCGAAGAAATATTTTTCGAAGCTAGATTTCACGAAAGGGTACTGGCAGATCCCTCTCTCCGAGGAGTCACGGGCCAAGACTGCCTTTTCAACGGACACGGGACTCTACCAGTTTAGATTCATGCCGTTTGGGATAAAGACGGCCCCGGCAATCTTCACAAGGCTCATGCGACGTCTTCTTGGGGCGGTGCCCGGGGTTCTATACTACTACGACGATGTCCTCATTGCAAGCAACACGTGGGAGGAGCACCTGGCGACACTCAGAGAGGTGCTGGAGAAGATCCGGGCCGCGGGGCTTACGGTGCGTCCCACAAAGTGTGAAATTGGGAGGGAAGAAATTGCCTTCCTGGGGCACCAGATTGGAAAAGGCAAAATGGCCCCTCTCAGTGGACTTGTGGAGAAAATCCAAGGAGCGAAACGACCGGAGACAAAGCGCCAGGTGCGCTCATTCTTGGGGCTGGCGGGATATTATCGGGAATTCATCGCCAACTACGCAGAGGTGGCCGCTCCCCTGACCGGCTTGACCCGAAAAGGAGGCAGCAACCGAGTCGACTGGAAACCGGAGCATGAGGAGTCCTTCGGCGAGCTGAAGCGCAGGCTGGCAAGCGCGCCGATACTTAGGCTGCCCGACATCCAAAAGCCCTTCGTTCTCAGAACCGATGCTTCGGATCAAAGCATCGGTGCAGTCCTCCTCCAGGCGCATGACGGTGTTCTACACCCGGTTGCATACGCGAGTCGGAGGCTTCTGCAAAGGGAGGCCGCCTACGCAACCGTTGAGCGTGAGGGGCTGGCGCTGATCTGGGGTATCCAGAAATTCCACACGTACCTCTACGGGAGGCCCTTTGTGCTGGAAACAGATCACCAGCCCTTGCTTTACATCAATCGTACCCGACATTCCAATGCTCGTGTGATGCGTTGGAGCCTCCGGCTCCAGGAGTACGATTTTCGCGTACGATACATCAAGGGGAGCGAGAACGTTGGGGCGGATTACCTCAGTCGCTTGTAAGGTAGAGCCAACGCAAATTTTTTTTTTTTGCTGGCTCCTGTAGATGGCGTTGGTATTTGCTGAAGTGAACGCAGCCGAACTGTATTTGTATTTCTTTTTTTTGTATGTACGACTATAAAATGCTTGGTGTTTACAGTTGTTCGTGATAAATATCTGTTCAGTCGCATGCATACGTGCAGGCTACCGCCCAGTTTTGTGTCGAATTGTGTGATTTCTCTATATTCACTGGTGAATATTTTTGAATTGGGGGTGGTGTCACAGAATTCGAGCGTTTTGTGTGTTTGGTTTTTGAATTGATTTTTTTCTTTTTGTTCTTGCCGTCCATTCGGCTGGCCCGGCGCATTGAGCGGCAGGGTTCGTTCCTCGTCCGTTTTTTTTTTTGTTTTATGACCCCCTGGCCCCGCGCGTTGAGCGGCGGGGTTCGGGCACCGTCCGTTTTCTGTTTTATGACCCCCTGGCCCCCCCCCTCGTCCCGAGGACGATTCTCGCGAGGTTTTTAGCTGGTAGCGATGGGCCCTTCGGCTTCCCGGAATGTTGGGAATGGTTTCCAGATGTCCGAGTGGGGGTGCGCTGTATGGTTCGCTGGGATAGGCTCACTGCGGGGCCTGCCAGTGTGACGTGTGTTTTTGTTGATATGTATTTTGTTGTTGAAACTGTTGAAAAACAATTATTTTTTTTTTGAACGAGGGAGAGTGGTGTCTGCCGCTGGAATTTGGGAAAGGGAGGACCTCGGCTTGATTCCGAGCCGAGTCAGGGCAGTGTGCGCGAAGACTTGGCCCGGGGTGTACGCAACGCGAAGTTTGGGGCGGGACTGCGGTAGCGACGGAAGGCTGAGCACGGGAGGAGTTTGGGCTCCCTGGTCCAAGCGCTGCTTTGGGCGCCCAAGTGTGTGTGCGTTTGTGGGTGAGTGCCTGTGCCGAGGAGCCACGCCGACAGCACCCAGGCGCACATCGACCTCCCAGGTTCGGTCGGCATCGCAAGAGGCCGCGTCACCCCCATCACCCACCGGACTCAGGTTCGCGCCACTCACCCCCCATATTACTTTGTATAGTTTATCCCTCCTTTAGTTTTTTTTTGTTACTTTGAGTGCAAGTACTTATATTGCAGAAAACTTTCTTTCTGAACGAGCGCTGTGTTTTTTTCATGTACAGATATAATCATACAACATAAGTCGCGCCTCAGCGCTTACTCTATGGGGCGGTCTGTTGTGTCTTGCTGTTGGAAGTTTTGTTTGTTTTGTTTTATGCACTGTCTAACGGATTTTCAGTAAACTATTTTGTGGCTGAAAAGAAAAGAGTCTGTGTTGCTCATTCTCCCCTCACCGTGAGTCAGTCACCAGGGCGTGGACCTATCGTCCGGTCAGCGGTCCTATCAAAATTATAAATTTGTTTGCATAGGATATTATTTGGATCTTTTATTGTTAATTTTCACCGAACCTGTGACAAGTACACAGTAAAACTTTTTACACACTTAAGGGTGTAAATCAGTTTGTCCCTGGGCTAACACCCTTATGGCGTTCAGGCAAGCACCCTTCATGAAGGGTGCTTGCTAACACCCTTGGTAAAGGGTGCTTGGCATGAAATGAGCTCCTGCTGGGGTGGCCCAGTGGATGCTGGGCCACCCCAGCCAATCTGGCGCCGGGAGGGTGTCATGCGACGTTTTGGTTATGTGGAGTACAAGGTCACATGACGCTCTTTCGACGCTGGATTGGCTGGTAGCGTCCGCCACGCTCGGACAAAGGGTGAAATGAAGTATAGACCCCAGTGAACATTTCATTGGAATGTGTCCAATACACATATCAGAACTTGTAAATTGTACAAAAATCATATATGGTATTGCATATTCTTATATTATTATTACGTGATTTACAGCTTATCATGTTTACTGAACACATTTACACTTTTTTCACTTAGAAGGATTGCCACATCACCACATACAAGGCATGTGATAAAGAAATATTGAGTCACACTAAACACAACTCACTTCATGAAGTAATACACAAGAGCTCCTTGCAAGCCACATCATAACCCCGTGGGCAATTGGGAAGTGCTACGGCACCCCCCTTTCTCGAACTCTAAGTGAGCAAGCAATGGCCCCAAACATCGCACTGCATGGCTGAACCATTGTGAACATCATGGTCTGCCACAAACGAAGCATGTAAAGCTTTCCTGTTTGGAGATCAAGTGACATGTTTTGTTTGTCTCAGAGGATTGCAGGCAACCCACGCTTCGCTTATCACTTGTCTCCTACGCGCATCTGGCTCAACACACAAGTCGCGCATTGTACCAAACGGTCCAAGAAGACGGAAAGGAAGGACTCCCCTCATTCTCGGACCCTCGTTTGTGCAACCGGAAACAGTCATCCTCCCCCTAGAAGATTAGCCCGTCGCTCAAAACTCGAACAAAAGTTGCTTTCCCCACCCCGTTCAGCCCTAAGCTGACAGTGTTGTGGAAGCCACGTGCTCCTTGGGCCAGCCCACGTGGGCCAGCCACACGCTCGTCACGCCACGGGTACTTCGAACGGCTCGGTTGTAACGCGCTGACGCTATTTACACCACCACAACGCTGCCAGCGCCACCAAGGGAAAAGCTGATAACCACGCCTGCCTTGCTACTCCACGGACGCGGGGAATCTTTTCTTTCTGGTTTTGTTTGCGCCGGATATCCCATGACGCATCGCGCTCTCCGTTCGCTTCTCTTCGAGCGCTTGCTCGAGTGCACCGTTTGGAACGAAAAATATAACCAGTCGTTCAAAATACAAACGTGCGATTATCATTTACGGTTATTATCCCTCATACTTGATTCACTTCCGAACGAAATTTGAATATTTCAATTTTTGTTTCCGTACCCCTTTAAAGAACACAACTGTGATGATGATTTAATGAATGATGATGATGAAATAATTTTGACTAAAGAGAGTGACCACAAGGGTATACTGACAGAATCACTAACAATGATGAAACCTAGAAATCTATTAGTGCCTTCCCTGTGTTTTGCCATTGAGTGGAAGAAGTTTCTTGGCCTATATTTTTGTTAGAAACAGGTGTGATGTGTCCGTCTTTTTAAATCTTGATGTTGTGCATATTTTTTATTTCCTAGGTTGAAAGCTCAAGACATTCCTTGTTGTTTGTTCAATCACATTTAACCAAATGTTAGTAGGTTGCTTTTTTATGTTTACTGTCCTTAGGTATGTCAGGGGCTGTGAACAGTAAAACGCTGCAAGGCACTGGAAGGAATTCCCTTTGTAAAGTGGTGGCAAGCAGAAGAGAAATTGTAAAGACTGACTTCATGTCTTCCCCTACGTTTTCTTTTTTGGGTCGCCTATTCATTTTTTGCCCATTAATACTCATCTGTGTTTGATACTTCTCTGCGTTTGTGTCACCCTTCAGAGAACCCGTCTTTAATAAATTAGTTGTTTGCCTGTTTGGCTAGCTTGCACCCTCGTTTTTGTTTATTAATAAATGACTGTAGGATTCGACTGTAGGATGACTGTAGGATTCAAGCACCGTGTTAATGCATACTAATAAATAGCAGCATACATTTATTGACTAGTGCTGATGATTAGACTAGTTAGTAGCCAATTATTGAAAAGAAATCATGAAGAATATGGGAACAGAGGATATGAACACAACGGGAACGCGACAAAAGAGCACACGACAAAACAGCACGGCGTCAAAACAGCACAGTGACAAAACAGCACGCATGTAGCAACTTCGAGCGCGCTCTTCACCTCTCTCTGTGCAAATAATTTTGAACCTCCTTGACCCTTTCATATTTTGGTGCTAGGTTGTAAAGGATGGGGGCATACTTGAAGAGATTGGGTAGTTAAAGGTGATATCTTCGCGTCGATGTTGGACGCGTTGTCTGGTCTTTTTTGTAGGACCAGGGAAAGCGGAAAAGTTATTGGCAAAAAGAAATCCATAAGTTCAAGTTATGAACCGTCTGGTTTGCGGCGGTCCGGTGAGGTTCCGTAGTACTCGTCGTCTTGTAATACCACCCAAGCGTAAAACGCCCCCCCCCCCCCCCCCAAAAAAAAAAAAAAAAAAAAAAAAGCAGGATTTGCGTTGATTACAAATACATTAATAGAACCGGTAAGATAAGGTGACTTTAATGTTGAGCGTATTCAAGGTGCACCATGGGCACCGATTCTGCGCGGTTCATTCACCGTGAATAAATTGTGCAGAAAACTCGCGGCTGCAGCTTGCGGGCGAGAAGTCGTTTTAAATTAAATTCACAGATTATTTCCGACGAAGGCCTCGATCGAGGGACAACCGGCGAAGTAGAAACAAGCCGTCCGACTAATTAGTTTTTTTTTTTTTTTTTTTGTAGACGACATTGTTAGCAAACTTGCGCGTCAAAATTATCAGAACTGCTCGAGAAATAGGCAGAACACGCACAAGCAAAGGCTTCGGTACTGCCCAGGGAACCTTCATGTGCCCATCGGATATACCCCCCCCCCCCCCCCCCCCCCCCCCCCCCCCCGCTCCGGACTTGCTCCCCAGAAAACGGATTTGACAAATCGGCCCTCGACGAGTTGGCTTTCGACGAAATGGCTTAGACCCCCCAATTTTTTAAACTACATGTACGCTATATATAGGGTTCAGCGTTTTCGGCTTAAAGCAAAACCGGGAAAAGTATGCCGAATTAGTTTTTTTCAAATTCGGTTTTAACTGAAAAAAGTCAGTATTTTCGAGGGAGTTCGGAGAGGCCCGGGGGTGGGGGGGGGGGGGGGGGGGGGGGGGGGGGGGGGGGGGGTATGCTACGACTCATTACTGACCGTATGCCACTTCCTTCCGCAGTTTTCAGCTTGGCTCCGAGATCGGTTCAACGTTCAACAAAAGCTCCGGGGGCCCAAGGGTCTTCAGGACGATATCTGGGTTTTTCACCTGACATGAATTTGTGTGCCGAATTCTTGCTTGAAAGAAGAGAGTTTAATCGTGAACTGAACAATGAAAATCAATGACGTCCGTAAATGCCGCACATTTTTAACACCCCCAGCTTCCGTCTACAATAGGAGGGCATACATACGATTGTTTTATTGCCGTTTCTGTGGTCGGCGCGAATTTACCACCCCTCGCACTCGTGAAAATGGCGAAAAAAAGCACTAAGTACATTGCTTTCAAATTTCTGGATTTTGATATTGGCCTCTCCGACCGAAGTGAAGCTCATGTACGTTCAGTGTACGTACAAATACGAGCACACGACGATAATGTCAGATCACGATAAGGTTTCAGTGCACCTGGCAGAACAGGTCACGTCGGCTGCCACAGACAGCCACATTCCTGGTTTACTCACTATACATTTTAAACAAACGCTTTTAAATACTGCATTTTCGTCAGTATACTGGTTTTCCTCAATGCACAGAAAAGAACTGAGAAGTTTATGAGTCTACAAATATTCACCGCAATAAACCGAAAATTTCTGTTTGGAATAAGAACGGTTTTTATTCCAAACAGAAAAAAAGGTACGCCGAATATAGAAATAATAAAAACCGAAAATGCCAAACCCTAGCTATGTTGTCAATCTCCTGTTTTGACACAGTGCTGTTTTGTCGCGTTGCTGTTTTGACGCCGTTCTCTTCTGTCGCTGTGCATTTTTGACGCTGTGCTGTTTTGTCGCTGTACTGTTCTGACGCTGTGCTGTTTTGACGCCGCGCTGTTTTGGCACGTGCTCTTCTGTCGCTGTGCTGTTTTGACGCTGTGCTGTTTTGTCGCGTGCTCTTTTGACGCGTGCTGTTTTGTCGCCGTGCTGTTTTGACGCTGTGCTGTCTTGACGCGTGCTGTTTTGACCGTGCTGTTTTGTCGCGTGCTGTTTTGTCGTGTGCTGTTTTGT